CAACCAATTTCCTATCTGCAAGGAAAGGATGACACAGTAGGAGTGTTACTGGCGATCGTATGGAAGGACACTAGGTGCGGTCTTCAATTTCTCTTCTTCATTATGGATAGAGGAAAAAGACTTAGTGACAGATCACAAGGGCACTATCTCCACATTCCTACCTTCGGTCCGTATAGGAGCTGATGGCTGCGACTTCTTTTCACATTCCTTCGGATTCTGTCCAGTCCCTGCAATTGTGCTGGCAGTCACGTAGCACACATACTCAGTACTCGGAGACAAACCTCCGACTGTGATCGAGGTGGTTAAGTTGTCTTTAGTTGAGACACTTATTGGATCTCTGCCCTGTATGTTGCTCGAACAGGTGAGAATGTAGGGTTTGAGGATGCCATTGGGATGGGCGGGTGGAGACCATTGCAGTTGAATTTGTTTCGCTGATATGGCCTTCCCATTGGGTGGCTGCACCTCCGAAGGAGCTGTGAACAATAACATGATTAAATTTGGTGTTAATGTGGAATCATGTGCAAATTCCTGTCACCTAAGTGGGATCAAAATGGAAGTCACTCCCACTCCATCATTCCAAACTTAAACCTGTTGTATTACCAATGACATTGAGTGCAATGAATGTTGAAGAAGTGAAACTTACCAGTCGGCCATGTTCTAAGAAAGCGTTGAAAACTAAATGCAGTCGTTTGACCTTTAAAACCATCCACAGCCATAATATATAATGTGTAGGGACTCAATCCATCAATTTTGACCTGCCCATTGTTGACACTGACATTTTTTGTCACGATGAGAGTCGAGTCATTTGCCAATTTTGCAGTGACGCTAATTTCTTCGACGTGCGCTCTCTTCATCTCTCCAACATTCCAGCGCACCTGAACTTGATTAAAGTCATAGTGATACCAACGAAGAACTGGTACGAAGAAATTATTTCCTGAAATAAAACGATAATACGGTGAAGGTGATGCTAACATTTGTGATCGCTCAGCAGTGGTCCTTCATAACCCAGAATTATGTCTTTGGTGGCCGCAAATTGCAGTCTTTAGTTTCTTTGGCATGTTATTGGAGAGAGTTAGGAATGACTTTGACTTAATTACAGGCTATAATCTTGAAGTTGGGAATGGAGGTGGGGCTGGATTGTCACGTTTTCGTCACAAAGCATGGTGAATAAACACGCCATCAGAGGAATGGCGTCCATAAGTGATTCGAGAACCAATGCATATGCAGGTAGAGGTGGTTGGCATTGTGGAATCTGGCAGGACTAATTGTGGATTCGTCCACATCCGGTGTCAACATCAACAGGTGGTAGACGAGGAGCACTGCTAGAAAAGTGGCCAGCCTCACATCACACTTCCCTCTCTTTGTTCCACAAGTACATTTATTTCTACTAGATGTTGATGCAAGTGACTTGGAAACAGTTAACTGCTTCAACGCTAGAGGGATATATTTTGAAGGCACACACTGGGTCAGAGTCTGAGGTGAGTGGTTTACAAGTCGGTAAAATGTAGCTATAATAAACAATCTACTCTTTGTAAGAGTTAAATAATAAGAGAAGACCACCTACCGCTCGCTCTTCCTATCAACGTCTCAGGCAAGACAAAGATCGCCAAACAGACGAGATGAAGTCGAAGCACCATCATCAAAAGAGAAATATTCATGCCTTCGTAAATCCAAACACTTTTATAGATAGAAGCCCCGTTCACATCAGCGTATGAGGTGAATTTCGCTTGACCTGATTGGCATCCCTTTTACGCATCTGCTGCCTGAGGTAGGGCGTTGGAGTTGCAGAGTTGTGGTGATTGCAGTTTCCAAGTTGCGAGATCGTAAAACTTTTGGCGCTTTGCATTATCTCCTTGGAGCATAACTGCACAGACTAACCATCGTGTCGTTTTAATAACGCCGCTGGTGAGCACTGGACCTTGCAAAATATCTGCTGGTCATTTCTAAGCCAAGGAAAACTATCATGTGTGCACCCGCTATCACGTCTTGACCAATTCTTGTCAGGCCTGCAGAAGGTATTGCAAAAATGCATTCTGTGACTTATTTTAAGCAAATTAAGTGCAAATTATTTGATACTTCCTTGGCAGGAATTCGGTTTCATCGCAGAGGTGTATACTAAAATGTGATGTGTGGTGTGGAAACATGGTTTGAAATTTTGTCCCAATATGTCCCCTTCTCGGTCATGGGTAGACGTAAAGATGGAAATGGGTTTTGCTAGAGGATCAGCGGGTAGTTCACCACCTTTTATGGCAACAAAATGGTGCCAGCCTTGGTCTCAGGCAGACATCTGGCAACCTTAGTCCGGTGTCCACGTCGCCGTTCCAACAGAGTGATATACCCCAAAACTTCATTTTGTCTTCGCCTTTGCAAGGCGAGTGGCCGTTGAGGAGGCAGGCGAGACGATGCAACCAAGAAAATCTGCAACTTGTATGCAACAATGGCAACTAATCATGCTTCCGCATCTCTAAGGTAAATCAGAAGAAGATGTTGTGACTTCCAACCTACCACCGACCCATAAATGTGAGCTGAAAATGCATTAACCTCTATCATGGCAGTCAAGTTCGTTGCTTAGCAATAAAATCTCACTGTTACTCCAATGCACACTAGCGCACCCTCCAAATTGGATCACGGAGAGGCAAGTAAGATGATCCAAGGGTCATCACACCGCCCTTCACTTACTCGCAACCTCAAGAAACCATTGTAAGTAGAGTGGCGACCTCTCCACACTTCACCAGTGGAGCAGTTTTCAATTGCCAAGCATTTCGGAGGACATCACCGGGCGCTGGTCGTGGTTAATTAGTAAAGCAAACTATCCTGCATTTTCAAAAGTCATTTTTTGCCTTCCTTACAAGTTTCCAAGCCTAAATGACTGCATATATGTTTATGCAGGGTATGTTTAATTACTGAAAAAAGTAGAGCACGGAATATCAAAAAATACTTTAAAATTATGTCGGCCAGAAGGTGTAAGCATGGGGAGGCCAGCCTGACTCTTCTAGTGAGTACTCACACTACGTTCTAGCACAAAATCAAACGGCACCGGCGGAAGGCAACAGTATTGGTGAATGTCTTTTGAAAAACACGACTTCCTAAGGTCTAACCACCTCTTTTCCTGAGCCTTTGGGTTTGTGATTAGGCAAAAGTTATATTGCGACAAGTTATGCAGTAATATGTTCATTCGCCTACCTGTAGGACTGACAGCCTTGTCTGCATAGGCTGGCCTTAGAGGCAAGTCAAAGCCTAATCTGTTCGCCTTCCCTTAACATATTTGTACGGGAGGAGGGCCGCAGGACATTACACCAGTTGAAGTGGCAAGCGAATCCGATTTTGTTACAACCTTCATTCAGGCCTATACCGCCTGTGACAAACTCCTTTGATGAGAATGAAGAGCATGCACCTCAGTCGGGAGGATCTTTCACCCCCTCTAAACTAGAAGGGTTGAGAACGACATTCCTGTGTTTGACCGGTATGCTCTTAGCGGCTAAAACACCACTGTCATTAAACGTTTGGAAAAGTTTATTTGCACCATTGCACATATAGGTGACAGTGGTGACATTAAGCTATGCTTCTTGCGAAAAAGGACTGTAGTTGATCCTGTTTTCTCTAGTGAATGCCTGTCTTGGACTAGTAATCCAACATCTGTCCCTGGATACGATGACGAAATTGCGGTAAGTTTGGCCATGCTTCATTGAATTTCGTCTGAAGAAGCGACACAGTTAAACCTAGATCGGTAGTGGAACCGCCTAATGCTTAGCTACTCTGTTTAATTGTATGCGAGGCACTGCATTGTCAAGCCTTAAAGTTAAGGAGCTTACACGAAAAAGATCTGTATTGTAGGCCTCAGTGAAGCGCGATAGCCTTAGAATGGTGACGCAAGTTGCACCGATTGTAAGGCTAGAAAACCACACTAAGGCAAACAAATTATTTTGCTGGTGAAAATGCTACTAATACAAATATAAGTAAAAAGGTTAACATAAGAATTGAGGCAGTGGACTGTCCTTTAGATGCGCACTTCTACAAGTGAACACTAAAAAAATCTGCCCGACTTCATGTTTTACAACACATCCGAGGACATAATGAAATCCCTGCCATTTTTTAGCTAAAACGGCACACAACAGAGCATGCTCACAGGGATGATTTGATTGCTGGTCGTTAGGGCTGCTATTTACTTATTAGTATTTAACTTAGGCACCATTAAAGTCAGCACACAGACATCCTATCCTACCCCAAAATTTTGTTTTCTTTGCTCCATGAAGACGCGAAATGCTTGCATTGCGCATCTGTCACGGATGAGAGAACAAGGAGAATTGAAATTAATTATCTCTGGAGTAAAAGTAGATTATGTATAAAAAAACCGGCACGAATCAATGTGTGCGTAAGGCTGGAATGCTTCTGCGATAAGGTGCTTTTAAATATGTCTGTAGGATCTGATGACATAGTGGTTCCATATGGTAAAAAAAATAAGAAGAAACAAATCTAACGAAGGTGATGCACAATGAAGTCGAGACACTCAGTCGATGGGATTCTCAACAAACTCACGACAAGTCATTTGGTGGGATGAGCATGAAGTTGATAATAAAAAAGCTAGATGAATTCCAGTATGAATGGAAAGTTGACCGGGTGCTAGGGTGTGGGTTGAGAGAGCGGGTGACGTCAGTGAGCATCAAATGATTCACAACAGCGAACAAATCTGGCCCTAAATCACTTGACACATCCAAGTTTGTTGACACATGGTACAGTGAATCCAAATAAGAAAAGTGATGTCATCCTAGACCAATGCACCATTAAAGAAGAAAGTTCTTTAAACAAAATGGAAATTTAAGAGGCTCAAATCTTGTGACACTGTTTATCAGCGCCGTTGACAGTTTGTGCTACCGCAACCACAAATGAAACCCTCTTAACCACTGAGCTGTCGACTTGACTCCAGTCAGCGGTAAGCCAGTGTGACTATGAACGTCAGAGCCCTTTCAAGCCATCAAATAAAGTGCTGGCATTCATTTTGGTGGGCAGACAAGCACTGCTCGGCAGGAACCTCCTTAGAAGAAGAAGAAGAAGAAGAAGAAGAAGAAGAAGAAGAAGGGACAATACATTTCCATATGGGAGAACAGTTCCGAAATCGTGGTAGCAATGCATCCGTAGAAGCATAATTTTGACCTTCCCTTATCAAAGTCCACATTCGTGGAACTACTGCTGAAGTTACGTGTCAGAGGAGTGGAAAGGATGCGGTTGATAAGACGCATAGGTGCTGGACGCATTACTTTTAAACAAATCATGATTTGATCGCTTATTTAATGAACAAACAAACTTAGTTAAGTCAAAAGAACCAAAAAAATTTTGTTGTTTACTTGAAGTAACATAACCGGATCTCATCAATATCGCCAAACATTAAGCCTTTTTAGAATTCCCATCTCCGAGTCATAACTTTGCCGGTGAGAGTAAGGGACGCCATCAATCATCATAGCAGATCGCGTAAGTCAATTTGGATGTTAAAGATAGAAGTCAAATCGAATTTAGTTGTTCACTTGTGGAATTTGACATCGCAGATCCAAAGCTAACCACACCTCCAGTTAACTGACCCATCAATGGTTCAAAAGGAAAATCACACGGTCAAACTATCATCGACTTCCATTCAAATGGCTCAAAGTTTGACCTTCCAGTCCAATCCTCAAATTCCTTCCCTCCATATTCCGAATGAAACAGTTCTACACAGATGTCTGCACAAGTGTAGGCAAGATACACAGCCCAGAGCATTCGTGGAACATTTTGGCAACTTTTTTCTGTTTATCACATCCATCAGCTTAATAGAATAGCTACTCCAGACCTGATGACTTCAGTACATTGGGCCCCCTTAATAGTGACTAGAAGAACAAAAAATCACTTATAAAAATAATTCTGTGCCGCAGTAACGAAAGAGCTGGTAGTTGACAACCGAAAACCAGTATAATCAGGAAAATGTCATAATTTAGTGCTAACATGCCACATCTAATGATCGAAAAAACGGCGTTCCAATCAAACAAATCCACAGCTATGTCCTCACCCACAAACACAAATAAATCTCTTAGAGTTTAGCAACCAGTGAAGAGGTAATGGAACCCAAATCCCAAAATTCATTCACCTCCACTTCACTTCTTTGAACTATAAATGACAGCTCAGTTCACTCTAGCGAGACAATCTCGATGGCCGACCTGCATAGTGACACCTCCGAGGGTACATAAAGGGGATATGCCAACAATGGTTTCCTCTATGGAGCCTTCACATTTTTACATAAATTTGCGCTCTTGCATGCTGGAAGAATACTGATGATGCACTCCTCCCTTCGCACATATTGTCAAATCGCTTTCACGAGTCCGTCAAGGGAGGTGGTCCAAGGAAAGTCGTCGCCACATCCTCAGTTAAGTACCTACACTTGCTGTCAAATCGCATTATCACACCGTAACACGGTGAATACGCAGTGCATGCGATGACGCTTCCGAACCTCATGACAAGAATCGAAGATGTACAGAATCAGCCTCTTAAGGTGCCTCAAGGAACAAGGGAAAAGCTCAAAGCAATACCTTCCAAAAAAAACAATGTGCTTGCTCAAATAGTTGTAAAACCAGATATTTTGAAATAGCAGAGTTGGTTTGACCAACATCTACTTTTGCATGCTCAGCGAATTACCCCCAACATTATGGCTAAACAGAAGACTTTACCAACAAATCGTATTAAGCTTTCAATGGGCTTCCTTACCACTGTCGACCTACATCAGTGCCTACGCTACCACCTCTTCAATCGCCACTGCTTGATCTTGCATAAAAGTCACCATCTTCGCTTTTTCCATTCGTCACACCAGTCAGGATGAAGCATGCAATTGCAATAAT